TCTGGGGCAGCCCTGTGCTGGAGGGGTGGCTATGGGGACAGTTAGCAGGATCTGCTGGTTAGGAAGTGGGCTGTGCCTCTCTTTTGGAGAGAAGGCAGGAGGCCTGGGGGAGAACATGGCAGTGGGATCAGAGGCCCCTCGGGAGGAGCTGGGGTGGGAAAGGAACAGGAGCGGTGCAGATTTTGGCAGAGGGAAGGTGGTGGGAGATGCTGAAATGTGTTTGTTCATGTGGATGTGGCCTGTCTGGGGAACCTCCCAATGGATAAGTTCAGATGACGCTGCAGAGGTGGGACACACATGGAGGGAGAGGGCTGTGCTAAGTGGTGGCTGCGCCAGGAGCCTGCATGTGATAGAGGGGGCCGCCAGGAGAGAGGGGGTTCAGACAGGACTCTGGGGGGTGAGGAGGAGGGGGTGGATGTGCAGAGGACAGCATCTTGTAGCCCAAAGGGAGAGAAGGTACAAAGTGGAGGGAACGGCTGCTGAGCGATCTCCAGGCAGAGATGTGCCCTCAGATCCCGGGCTGCGGCAGGGTGGTGAGGAGGGAGGCAGGGGGCCGAGAACTGAGCAGGCAGTGCTGCTCTAGACGACAGAAGGCAGCAGAGCGTGTAGACGACAGAAGAGGGGGAGGCCGGAGGTGTAGAGGCTGAAGCAGGGTCCCCCCCAGCCCACCCCCAAGGACGGCCAACCCTTGGCCTTGGGGGGGCAGGGCAGAGTGGACAGCCCCTTTCACACCCGCGACACTCAGGCCCCGCCTCCAAGCCTCCCAGCCCCGCCCCTCCCAGAAGACACGTGGTTGGGGGAGGGGCTCCAGACCTGCCTCTTCTTTCACAGCCAGAATATTCACGTTCTGAGCGCTATCTTTAAGCGGGACCCTGTACAAAATCTGACCCCGGCAACAATCCATGCTCCAGAAGAGGAAACTGAAGCCCCGGGCTGTGAAGGTCACCGCCCTTAGGCAGCAGGGGAGCCTCGGCCGCATGGGCAGCGCAGCCAAGTGTCCCGTTCCTCTTTTTCCTTTTATTGAAGTATAGTCCATTTCCAGTGTTGTGTCAATGTCTGGTGTACGGCATGGTGAGTCAATTGTACATACACAGATTCCTTCTCGTATCCTTTTGCATTATAGGCTATTGCAAGGTGCTGAACATCGTTCCCTGTGCTCTGCAGCAGGGCCTTGTTGTTTAACTACTTGGTGTGTAGTAGTCAGCTGTTCCTCTTTCAGAGACTCGAGGCAGAGGCTCAGGGAGGCCAGCCTCGCCCATGGTCACCCAGTCCCTGTGCCAGACCTGCCTCTCAGGCTGCCAATCTTCCTGGCGGGGCCCCATCATTGTGGGGCGTGGCAGCCCCTTAGTGATCAGGAACACAGAGCGGCCTGGGCAGGAACGGGGACCCGGAGCTGCAGGAATCCCCAGGGAAGGCCAGCTGGCCTGGAAACCCTGTAGGGGGTTCATCCTGGGAACAGGGAGCCAGGCAGGGGTCCCTGCTCCTGCTCACCTTTTTCCCTCCCCCGTTGTTCCCCTCCCCCTCCTCCCACCAGGGGCTCCCTATCTTGGCTGTCGTCCCATGCATCTCAGGGGCGTGGCCCAGACACCCACCACCAGTTCCTAGAAACATTGCTGTGGGACCTGCTGGCTCCCCAACCCAGGTCACCGAGCAATGGGTGGGGGTCAGACCAGCAGCCTTGGGCCCCTCTGGGATCACTCACATTTCCAGGAAAATTGCAAAATATTTGAAGAACAATTCCTCGTAATACATCCCCATTGTCCTGAAAAGAGGTATTGGGCAGGGAGGGCTGGAGAAGGGACCTCAGGGGCCTCCTTTTCCCTGAACCAAGCCCGTCCCCACGCAACCTCAGAGCCAGCAGAGAAGATCAAAGGAGTCAGGGTGGGGTGATGGAGGAGGCAGATGATGCCCGGGGAGTGGGGCATCTCCCAGGGAATGGCCACTACAGGGCTGTGAAGCCTGGAAACCCCTCAGCAGCTGCTGCCCAGAACCTATTTCTACTCTCTCTTGTCACCCCTCCAAGTCATGGCCCAGCCACAGCACAGCCTCAAAGGGCAGAAGCCAAGACAACCATTTCCACTGCCCCATGAGGCAGGGGGCAGCTTCCAAGGATGGTCCCCATCCAGGGGTCACCCCTTGTGTAACCCTCTCCCCAGAAGCCTGGACCCTGTGACTCACTTCTCAAAAGTGATGAAATGTCATTCCCACAATCAGATTATGAAAGACTGGACTTCCGTCTCCAGGACTCTGCAGCTCAAGTGCTGTCATGTTGGAGGAGCCCACGTGGCCGGGAACCAGGGGCAGGCTCCAGCCATGAGTTAGCAAGGGATCCTGCCAGCCACCACTGAGGGAGCTGGGAGGCTGACCCTCCCCCAGCTGGGCCTCAAGGTCCATGCCGCCCACTGCAGCCTGGGAGAGACCCTGCACAGGGGACCCAGCTAAGGGACGCCCAGAGTGAGAGCATAAATGCTGCCGTCTTAGCCGCTAAGTTTTGGGGTGCTTTGTTACACAGCAATAGGTGACGAATACAGGTAGCATTGGCTGAGCCAGTCAAGTGCTGGCACGTGACCTGCAGGCTGATACAGCTGTGACCGTGGGCTCGCAGAGCAGGTTCCCCTCCACAAACCGGAGACAGCAATGCCCGCCTCCCCTCAGGCACCAAGAAGAATAAAGAACGCAATGCAGCTCAAGCACCCAGCACAGCGAGGGGCACAGAATGGAGGGACGTGCGGCACGCCCCTACTCCTCCAGGAAGCCCTCCAGATCCCGCAGCTGGATCTCGCCTTCCCGCCTGTGGGTGCCTAGTGAAGCAGGTTGTGTCTCCCTCCAAAATGCTTTTCTTTCTGCTGAGCATCTAGACATTCAGATCCAGGGCTGATGCCCCAATATCCCCAGCCCTGCAGCCCACAGCTGATATGATTCTTCTCAGCCCAGCAAGAGTGCAGCCTGAGGGCCCCACAGCGTGTCCAGCCGACCCTTACTCAGAGGAAAAGGAAGAGGCCCGCCAGGCATCCCCGTCTGTGAGACTGGGGCTGGGGTGGTGACCAGGACGGTCTAGGCAGGTGAGATGGGGTCTCTCTGCTCAGCGACTCCTGCATCCCTGAGCCCCTCCTCCAGGCTTTGTAGGGCTCCAGGGCCCCCGAGGACTGAGGGTGGATGTAGAAGGTAAGGCCCAAGTGCCGGGGGCCCTGACCAGGCCGGCCGCCAGCACCAGCTGCCACAGAGCTGGGCGTCGCTTCCCAACAAATCACTGTGTCTCCTCCTGAAATGCTCGCCCAGGAGGCGACGATGCAGCCACTTGGCAGGCAGTCAGATGGGCTGGGTCACTGGTCAGCTGGACCACTGACTCTCAGATGCTTAGGAACATGGCATCCCCTCACAGAGCCTCAGTTTCCCCAAACAGGTAGTTCAGAATTTCTCAACAAGTGATCTTAAAAGATATCCAGAAAAATTTTTTTTCTATTTCCACAGTTATTTATTAGTGTCCATATGTATTAAGAAAAAGATGTATAACTAACATGCCAAACCCAGAGTTTCAGATTCTGTTGTTTAGGTCACTGGCATTTAAGTTTAAAAAGCAAGCTGATTTAAATAAAAACATTAAGTAAGTGGTAGAACTAATGATACAAGGATATGACACATATCATGTTGTAAGATTCTGCAGAACCATATTTCTTAACCAAGGAATAAGCTTCTTCTGTGTCTAAGCCACTGTTATTGTAGAGCTTGTCACAGCAGTCAACCCTGTATCCTCACTCATACAAGCAGCCATGCAATGCAGCTAAAGAAAGATATTCAAGGCAGTGAGAACAGCAGGTGCAAAGGTCCTGGGGCAGGAACAAGATAGGTTCCTATCTCGGGGCTTTGCACCTGCCAAAAATGCTGTCCTGACGTGCAGTGAGTGGAAAATCTCAGAGCAGAGCAGTGTGGCTGAGCAAGGCTGGAGCAGAGGACCCAGGGCACCCCAGCCTGGCCAGCCCCCTTCCGGTGCTGGCCTGTTGAAGCAGTTATTCATTCCGGGAGACTGCCTGTGTCTGCAGAGGCAGGGGACCCCAGCTCCAAGGACAAAGGCTGTGATATCTGTGTATTCTGGCACCCAGCCCGCATCTGGAGGAAAAGAAGTCTTGGTGGATGTTGCTGAATAAACAGCAGAGGGGCTCTAGGGACCTGGGACTTCCACACCAGACACCCAGGGGGCAGAGGGGCAGCCCCACTCAGTAGGAGGCCAGGGTGGTCCTGGGCTCTCCCCCATTAGTGGAGGGGGAGCATGGGCTGCTAGGGGGCAGGACTGGGAGGCCGAGTGGCAAGGGGGACAGGGGAGGAGACAGGTAGGGGCGGGGCCCCAGGGAGGGGCCGGGACAAAGGTGCCTCCCCTGTCTCCCCAGCGGAAGGAGCCACCAGCTCCTGCCCAGGGTCCCCCGGGGTCTCACCGTTGGCCTCGCCTCAGCTGCCTGAGCCTCTGGGGCCACAGGATGGCTCAGCTCAGAGCAAACTCCCCAGCTGGGAAGGAGCAGAGCAGCCCCCCTCAGCTGGTGAGCCTGGGCCCCAGCTCTCCTCAGGGGACCCCACTGAGCCCAAGGAAATCGTCGGGGTGGGGGTAGCTCAGCAGTAGAGCACGAGCTTAGCACGCGCAAGGTCCTAGGTTCAATCCCCAGTACCTCCATCAAAAAAAAAAGAAGAAAGAAAGAAAACTGTCATCCCTGGGCTGCCAGACGCCACCTGGCTTACATCACAGATGGACTCAAGCCAGAGCCCTGAGCAGCGGGGGAGGGGGGCCTCGGGGGCTCCTGGTGTGCTGCCCCTCCCCCACCCCATACCCTACTCCAACGACCCTAGACTTTCAATAGCTTCAATAGCTTCTCTGCCCTGCTGTACGGCC